ATGCCTCACTTCCCTGATCTGTAGGCTATCTCTGCCCCCCATGCCTCACTTCCCTGATTTGTAGGCTATCTCTGCCCCCCCATCCCTCACTTCCCTGACCTGTAGGCTATCTCTGCCCCCCTCATGCCTCACTTACCTGATCTGTAGGCTATATCTGCCCCCATGCCTCTACTTCCTGATCTGCTGGCTATCTCGCCCCCCATGCTTCACTTCCCTGGATCTGTAGGCTATCCTGCCCCTGCCTCACTTACCTGATCTGTAGGCCGTCTCACCTCCCATCCCTCACTTACCTGATCTTGGCTGCCTCTGCTGGCTGTATGTGTTGCTCTCCTGCAGGTTTAGTCAGAGAGAAGCTGGGATAAGATGCAGCTTCCTATCCCTGTCTCTCTCCATACACGGTGCCGGTATTGCCCCCCCTGTGGACGCCCATGCGCACACAGATCAAACTATTTTTGTTTGAACTGTGTGCGGATTCTTTATATCCTTTTTTAAATATAGTATTGTTAATCTTAGCAGAGAGGGCTAACCAGTGCTAAGTTTGGTGGCAAATTTCTATTTAGTTTTAGTCAGTCTTTTGACTAAAAAGTCATTTTAGTTTTAGTCGTATTTTAGTCATCTGAATTGTTTTAGTTTTAGTCTAGATTTAGTCCACTAAATCTCCAGTAGATTTTACTCTATCTGTCTCTTTTGCCCCATCCCCAGCCCCTCTGTGTCTTTTTGTGTCCTCCCAGCCCCTCTAAGTGTCTCTTCTCAAGCCCCGGTTTGTTTCTTTTGCCCCTTCTGTGCAGTGTTAATTTTTGGGGCAAATTTCTACTTAGTTTTAGTCAAAGCCTTTTAACTAAAACACCGTTTTAGTTTTAGTCATTTTTGGTCATTTGAATTGTTTTAGTTGTAGTCTAGTTTTAGTCGACTAAAATTTGACTAAAATTGTTAGTCGACTAAATTAGCACTGGGGCTAACTAGAATCCTGCACATCCCATTCTTGCACTCTTTGGGGAGTGTGGTTTAGTGTACATTATTGCACTTAGAAAGTTAATTGAGAATGCATATCTCCACCATGGCACTATGCTGATGGTGGACTGAGAGACACAATACCCCTTCATCGAGCCCTTCATCTATTTTATCTACGAAAGTTTCCATTGTTATTCAGACTCTGTGAATGTAAATTCACTGGCCCTCATATCAGTTTATGTATATATTGTGCCCTTTATGTTTTTCACACACAGTTCACATACACTATTATCTTGTATTATCTTGTTTTTGGTTTTTTTATTATATGAGGATTTAAGTAAAGGTGATTTTACTAACCCCCTAGCCAACTTTCTTCTTTTTTTGGGACTATTTCTCCTTTTGTAGGATTTACTCCTTTAAGTTCATTAAGGTACTTGGAAGGTTCAAAACATTTGACTAACCTTGTATGCGACAAGGACAGGTTTCAGTGAAAGAGTTAACCCCTTTCTGAAACATGCTGCCCCACCCCTTTACTTAAAGCATTTGGGTTATTTTTGTTAATAATTTACTTGGCTGACTTCCTGGTTTCATTCTTGAGAGGATCTTAGCCTGAATACATTACTCTGTGTTTTTCTCCGACCTCCAGGATGGACCTGTCTGTGGTCAGGTGGTCGAGCATAGAGTACAACCTTCAAGACTATGTTGCCACATTCTATGACTCATTTCCAAACATCATTAAAGTAACAGAGGGATTTCTGGGGAAGCAGGAGATAGATAGTGTGAGCTCCAGTACGGTAAGTACCCATGCAGGTTGCACTTCTCAACTTTGCTTCAACTTCTGAGACATCGACATTTCTATTCTATAAAATTAAAGTGGTATCTCCGATACTATTAGTCATATTTGTGATACTGACTATACTGACTGAGTTTTATTTTTGCCTTTCCACCTGTATGGTTTAGATAAAACTGCGTGTTAAACATTAGCAGTAAAAAGGGACTCAAAATGTAACTTTTTAGTCTAAAATTGTGTTTTATTTTTAGTTCGACTTTTTTTATACCATATTTTGATATTATTATGATATTTTATATTGTATACTATATATGGTTATTATTATGATATAGTTTTGTATTTTCATGTTGTAATGGCTATCTCATGTTGAACCTTTCATAAAAGAAATATAATTTAGGACAATGGATAGAAGAGAATTGTTGTGCAATAAAAAGTTTTAAACATTGCAGACTTTGGCACCTATTATTATGTGCTAACAAAATTCCCGAATAACAATGAGATATGTTTCTGATTTGCTTTCTGAAAATAATCATTTTTTACTTATACACAAACATAAATATTGAGGTGTTGTCCCCACAATCACTTAAAGGGTCACTCCAGACCCCTAACGCATGTTAGCTTGCTGAAATGCTTTATGTGTGAAGAATGTGTACTCTTTAATTCATTTTGCAAAAAGTGCAGATTTCAATAGAAATTGACACTTTATCAATTAACTGGTAACACCCTCTTGACCTTCAAGCAGACAACATCGTCTGTTACTTCCTGGTTTGGTTAGTTCAGTGGAGCTAAACTCAAGAGGCAGCAATAGCTCAGAGCACTTGTCTTGCAAAGACTTCTCATTGAGCTGCAATGGAAAGTCTGTGATTGGACAGCCACAGAAAGTCAGGGGGTTTAGGAGGGTAGGGATTGCAAAGTTTGAACTGCAACTTTTGCATGCTGTTTTTAGATATAGCTCAATGAAAAAATGCATCATTAAATGCATGCAAGTTTTTATTTAGGGTATATCTACTAAACAGTGATTTTTATCCATTTTGCATTTGGGCAGCAGATTGTCCTTTTTAATAGCTATTTATTATTTGTGAAAGCACATGCTAAACTGTTTGTGAGGAAAGGTGGACAATTAAATACCAGTTTAACAGGACTATAAAATGGAAAAATTACATTTTCCAGTTTATTCTCCTCCGGGATGGCCGTAACTTCAAACCAGTGTTGGTAACTGATAGCGAAATTTTCAGACTTTTGGCTGTATCGATTAGCAGTTATAAAAGCATTCACATCAAAATTCACAAATCTTTATTCCGCCAGTACCACAGCCAAAGTTAGAGAATATAAAAATCATATAACTGGGCCTATTTGGTCTTGTCCCTGACGGCACGGAAACACGTCGGACCTTTCTTTTATTTATTTGTTTATTTATAAATTACTGTTATTTTGAGCAACATGTGACACTGGGGAATTTTACAGGGATAAGTGTGAGTGATTTAGTTTGTCTTTGTCAATACTGGATCCATGTGTGGGCAATGACAAATGAATTAAAGACGACTTCAGATTCCATTAGTATATTGTGACTAATTTTGTCCCAATACAGTAAATCAGTGATTTTTTTTTTGTCCTAATTATATACATTTGTAGCCATCCAGCAATATGCAAGTATGTGTAAAGGCGTACTACCCGCTATACATTAATTTGGGGCAGCTAGTTATTAAGTGGACCACAACTTCGCAAATGAATACGATCTTTTAGTATGCACTGCTCAGAATTATTCTTACGTACTACTGGGGGTAGCTTGTAACACTCGGTTTTAGCTAATACAACAGGGTTGGGCAGCAAGCCTCCCAAATAAATGATTTGATGTGGCGGATGCATTGAACGTCCGTTGAAAGTTTTAACTCTGCATCCCGTGAGCTTATCCAAAGAGGACCTTTTTTTAGAATTTCTTTGCTACATCTAATGTCACTATTAATTTTATATACATTGATTTAGGATCTGTGTTAGTATTTAATCTTATAATTGCAAAGGTGTCTCTACATGTATTCCGTTTCTTTGTAACCTCTCTTAATACATGTTCTTGCAACATTATCTTGAGATAAGATGTATCCATTATATGACTGTTTCATGATTTAGCACTTATCTATTGACACATCCTCAGTTGCCCTCTCTCCAGCCAGCCATGTATGTATGGGTTTTACTAGCTATAGAACTTCATATCCATAATTTCCCTATACATTCTAGCTAGCTTTCGACAGTTTTTTCCCTCTAACAATGTCCATTGGTTAGTTTTCACATTATTCAGTGTGTGTGTGTGTTGCTTTCACTCTATGATTTAATTACATTTTTTTTTGTTTTCTGTTTTTTTTAAAAGGATGTCTTTATAAAGTTTACAGTTTATATATATATATATATTTTTTTTCTTTTTGGTAGGCAGTTCTGTTATTGGGGACACTTTCAGTAGATAGTTTTTGAGTGTAAATCATTTATGAGGATTATCCCCTTTGTAGGTTTTTACCTGGATGGTCAGCTTGGATTCCCTCATTTAGATAACCCTCCCCTATTTCATTTATGTCTTTAAAATAAGCCTGGTGAAGCACAATCCTACTGATATTTCTTGAATAACAGGCAGTTGCAAAACTAATATCCTCACATGGACTCCTATGCGCTAGGATTATTCCTTTGGCTTCCTACTTCTTGGATAAATCAGAAAGTCCATTGTGAGAACAACAATGAGCATTAAAACCCTCAGCTTTTTAGCACTATACACATGCTTAAGTGCCAGGTTGTCAGGCTGCCATTTTGTATTGTTAGTTTGTCTGATAGTTGCACCAACAGATATCATAAACACACAACATGAAGCACGCCAATGGGATGCTTCCTGTCTCAGCCACACATTCTAGTCTTGCAAACATTCCACCTGAATTGGTAAATCAAAGCACAACTGGGTGACTTGTAAAGTTCCCCAGGTTATTCTATAAAATGGACGGCACATTATTCAACCTTGCAGTAAGGCTTTTCTTTACCTTTGTATATGTCTAGGTGATTGCAGCCTAGCACATCTGTGATATGTGCCCCTGAAGGCACAATTCTATTGGATTAAGTCTAGTTTTTGGTTAAGCAAGATTCCCCTCTTTTGACACTGAGTTTTATAGAAACATAGAATGTGACGGCAGATAAGGACCATTCGGCCCATCTAGTCTGCCCAACTTTCTAAATACTTTCATTAGTCCCTGGCCTTATCTTATAGTTAGGATAGCCTTATGCCTATCCCACGCATGCTTAAACTCCTTTACTGTGTTAACCTCTACCACTTCAGCTGGAAGGCTATTCCATGCATCCACTACCCTCTCAGTAAAGTAATACTTCCTGATATTATTTTTAAACCTTTGTCCCTCTTAATTTAAGACTACCTCTTGTTGTAGTAGATTTTCCTCTTTAAATATAGTTTCCTCTGTAAACTGTGAACACAAACAACAGTAGTGTGCAGCGCTAATCAATAATACCACCAAGTACAATATAATGCATGCACTATAATAGTGTAAACCCAATAAGAGAACACACACAAATACCCCAGAATATACAGGATCAGATGGTATAACATTCAATAGTACATCCCATTTCTGAAAGTCTGTATTGGGTGATGGTGTTTCTTGCTGGTTTCAAGGATATTCCTCTGTATGAAGCTTGTTCCTCGAAGTAAATAGTGTAGAACAGGCATACAAATTGAATTTCAAGTATAACCATTTATTAGTAAAAAATATAAAAATCTTACATCAAAGTAATGATGATGCCGTTCACAGGTAAGTACCATACACACAGCACAACGCGTTTCGACGAACTCACTCGTCTTCCTCAGGTGCAACATTAAATCACAAGCTTCAAATACATTTAAATCTAAAAAATAGCGCGGGAAACGGGTACCTCCAACCCGCCCCCTTTGCCCAACAACCAATCGACCGTGCAGGTTTTCATTCTTCTTTTGGTCCCATCCGGTTACTGTAGTCGCGGTTGTTTCACTTCCGGTTTTCCGCACTAAGCGTTTCACTTCCGGGTTTTATGCGTTCCACGAAAAACCAATCCGATTCTCTATGCGTTCCAAAGGGATTCACTATGCGTTCCAAAGATCGTTCCTTTGGTCTCTGGATATATGGACTCTGGAAATCCCAACTTAAAGTCCATAATGGCCATAATAAATGTCCATACATTAAATAAAGGGGAAAGAAGGGAATATATAAAATAATTATAAAAAACACCATATAAAATACAGACTAAAAGTAAATATAAAACTATCAGGTACCTATAGTGTAAATAGTTCCTTAAAATTAAATATAATTGTACATATCAAAATCGATATTTAACCCTTGAGGAGAGAGGGTTTCCAAGTCGAAGATCCATCTCATTTCTGTTTTGTTAAGGATCCTCACATGGTCACCCCCTCTCCAGGGTTTTAAAACCTTCTGAATTCCCATAAAATGCAGTACTTTTATGTCTCCATTATGTTTTTGGTGTATATGAGCAGACACAGAATGGGTTAATACCCCATTCTGTATATTTCTCAAATGTTCGCTAATCCTGGTTTTCAATGGTCGTATAGTTCGACCCACGTATTGCAAGCCACATATACACGTTAATAAATAAATAATATTGTTAGAACTACAAGTTATGAACTCTTTAACATTATATTCCTTATTCGTTATATTAGACTGAAATTTTTCTGTTTTTCTAGTTAAAATTCTACTAGTTTTACACGCTCTACAGTTTCCACAGTTATAGAAACCTCTTAGGGTGTTTCCATGTACATCTTTATTTAACCCTATTTCCTTCGGAATATAGCTACGGGTCAAAATATTTTTAAAATTATTGGCACCCCTATATATTACCCGTGGTTTATCTCCTATAAAGGAGTACAAATCTTCATTTTGTTTTAAAATGTGCCAATGCTTTTTTAAAATTTTATGAAAAGAATGGCTTTGAGAGTTAAAATCACAAGTAAAAGAAACCCTTTCTTCCCTAATATCCTTATCTCTCTTTGGAGGTACCCGTTTCCCGCGCTCTTTTTTATATTTAAATGTATTTGAAGCTTGTGATTTAATGTTGCACCTGAGGAAGACGAGTGAGTTCGTCGAAACGCGTTGTGCTGTGTGTATGGTACTTACCTGTGAAGGCATCATCATTACTTTGATGTAAGATTTTTATATTTTTTACTAATAAATGGTTATACTTGAAATTCAATTTGTATGCCTGTTCTACACTATTTACTTCGAGGAACAAGCTTCATACAGAGGAATATCCTTGAAACCAGCAAGAAACACCATAACCCAATACAGACTTTCAGAAATGGGATGTACTATTGAATGTTATACCATCTGATCCTGTATATTCTGGGGTATTTGTGTGTGTTCTCTTATTGGGTTTACACTATTATAGTGCATGCATTATATTGTACTTGGTGGTATTATTGATTAGCGCTGCACACTACTGTTGTTTGTGTTCACTTTGTGTTGTGGGATTTAGTGATTTTTCCCATTAAGTGTGTTTCAGCTGCTCCTTGTAGCGCCACGGATTAGACTATCTTTTCCCTTTGTACCTCTGTAAACTGTGTTGATTCCCTTTATGTATTTAAATGTTTCTATCATATCCCCCCTGTCTCGTCTTTCCTCCAAGCTATACATGTTAAGATCCTTTAACCTTCCTGGTAAGTTTTATCCCGCAATCCATGAACCAGTTTAGTAGCCCTTCTCTGAACCCTCTCTAAGGTATCAATATCCTTCTGAAGATACGGTCTCCAGTACTGTGTACAATACTCCAAGTGAGGTCTCACCAGTGTTCTGTACAATGGCATGAGCACTTCCCTCTTTCTCCATTGAAGACATAGATGTTTAGGATCCTTGTAAAGTTTAATTTAATATTGCCAGCCACCTAACCCATTCCCGCTGCTCATACATCAAGTAAATCCATTCAGTCCTGAGGTCTTTTTTTCTCACCTCCTCTGTTACTTTATTACAAATTTGTAATAAAAAAAATGCTTTGCAATTTACTGTAGTTATTTCTCTGTCATAGCTAAATATGGATAAAGTGAGGAAGAAGTCGACATACCTTATTTTATGTTGGGGAATTCATCTGCTTTGGAAATAAATGTAATATTTGCCCTTTTTGTTTTTTTGTTATCACTTTAATATATATATAAAACATTTTGGTTCCAATTACCTGCTACTAAATGAATGCGGCAGCGAGGCTCATTTTACTGTCCGCCCGCACCTCTCATGCCTCCCCGCTCTGTCAGTTCCTGCATTGGCTTCCAGTTAGATATAGAGCTCAATTTAAAATTCTGGTGCTTGCTTACAAGTCTCTACATAATGCTGCTCCAACTGTCCTGTCGAAGCCCCTGCACTCTGCCGAAGACCTCCGTATATCCTCTGTCCGTACTCCCACATCTGATGCTCGCCTCCAAGACTTCTCCAGGGCTGCACCTCTTCTGTGGAACTCCTTTCCCTTCTCCGTTAGACTTTCACCCAGTCTCCACTCCTTCAAAAAATTATTGAAAACACACTTCTTCAGGAAAGCATTTCATTTAAACTGTTAGCAGGTTTTCATCGCCTCTCCCCCATGACTCCTCTCCTGCAACTGTCAAAAATGACCTACTAAGCCCTCAATTAATACTTTTCTAACAACCTACTTCATACCCCTACTTTTACCCTTTGTGTCACTATACCCCACTCCCTCTAGAATGAAAGCTCATTGAGCAGGGCCCTCCACCTCTCTGTTCCTGTACGTCCAGTCATCTGGTTACAATTAAATGTCTGTTAGTCCACCCATTGTACAGCGCTATGGAATTTGATGGTGCTATATAAATAACAAAATAATAATAATAATACTAATTCATTAATTGCACTTTTCGCTTCCTTTGTTTTTTTTTAACATTAATGTAATAATAGCTTATTAACTTTTGCCTTTGGGTGAAATCAACAGTTTATTTCTATTATTCATAGAATGGATCTGTGTTTGAGAATGGGTGAGACAAGGAAAAGCAAGACTATCTAGCTATTGCAGGTGGCCTGATGTAGATATCTGATGTTTGTGTCACGGTCCAAGACACAGAAAATCAATATAGTCATGGGTAGTGACCCAATCACACAGTCACGTGGCTAGCATTAGTTATATAAAGCCAACTTCAGGATTCCATTGATCTTTGTTCTGCCGGTATTACCAAAGTCAGAGATTATGAACATCTTAAAACTGGGCCTAACCTATGATCAGTTATATAAAGCCAATTTAAGGAATTTATTACGGATCCATCACAGCACAGAAATAAATTCCATGCAGCTTTTTTTCCTGAAGTCTACAAAAAAGTACTATAGAATAAAGCAATTTGAACCAAATCAGGAGCTTTCTAGAGGCTCAGTTTGACAGTGTCCTATAAATGCTTTGAGTCTGCAAGGGAAGGAGGGTTTTCTGTTTAAATAGTTTGTTACCATTATTAATCCCCATAATAAAAACAGTTTGGCATTTTGTGGCATTGTCATTGAAAAACAGCATAAATTATATATAATATGCAATACTACAATTGCATCGCAACACATTTAGAGTTATTCACTAACGTGTGAATAATAGTGAATTTAAAGTGAATGTCAAATTTTAGGACGAAATAGTCAAAAGAAAAATTCAGCCATGCTTTAAGCTCAGCGGATTTGACCGAACATTTGAAATTCACTTTAAATTTTCTTTGAATTCCTGACAATTCAAAGTTTTTCAGTTCCGTGAAAGACCTTAATTTGTATGTAATTATTTCTGTCACCAAGCTATAAAAAGGAATATATTGATTTATATACTTATATAAATCAATATATTGATTTATATCAGTTATAAATGTGAACATATTAAAATCGCATCATCAGTCAATTTGAATACTCTGTGAATGAAATTACTGCTGTAGGAAGATACAGTTCCCACCCCGGTTTTATCAATGTCACTTGTCAATTACGCACAATTCCTGGTTTAAAGATTAAACCTCACAGGTTAACACAGAGCATTATTCATAACGTCTCTATCACTTTAAGGAGTGTTTTCTAGATTGCATGCAAAAATTAGTTTCTTTTCTTTACGTCAGTTGAGTAACAGTTGAAGATTCCTGTCATGTCTAGTTACATATAAACTTAATAATGATAACAGATTTATTTATTTATAATATATTTTACCAGGAAGGATGCATTTCTCTCGTTTTTCAAGTATGTCCTGGGTCCACGAAACATTAATACAATAGGGTACAATAAAACACAAAAACAATATTAATACACAATTTATACAAAATGTAACATAGAACAGGTAGGAAATATATAATCAACCATGACACATGCATTCTGTTTTGAGATATATAGATAGGGATCTCTTAAAGCCAACTGACTCAGCCTGTCCAACAGCTTTCTATCTAAACTTTTTATATTTGTCGACTTCTCAAGACTAGGCGGAAGGTGCCAAAGATCGTACGAGAAAATAATTCTTGTATAAATTCTTTGTTTTTTGTACCAGAAATGCATAGTTTAGAATTTCTTAACTTTTTAAAAATTATTTTTCAAATAATAAAACAATTTAGAATACGTGGAGGGCGTTAGAAGCAGAACGTTTCAGCAAATGGAATAAAGAGCAGTACATTACAAGACAAATTCTAAGACAAACAGTAACAGTTGTGAATGGATAAAAACAGAGAGCAGTTTACGTAATGATTTTTAAGCAAGAACAAACAAGTATATTATATACTCTGTGCTTTATTGCTACAAAAAACAAACAAAGTTTATTTGGGATATGGCATCAATGCAAACAGCCTAATATTTTGTAGACATAAATTGTTGGAACTGTGTGTGTGTGTGTTTGCAATATTACCGGAGAGGGAAAATGGCAAAGGAGAATATATTATTATTATTATTATTATTTTATTATTTATATAGCGCCAACAAATTCCGTAGCGCTGTACAAATTCCGTAGCGCTGTATAATGAGGAACATGAGGGGGCAAGTTCAGGAAAGGGTTAACAGTAAAAAGACCAAATATGCAGCAGTGAATGGACAAAGTCAGCAGGAGAAAAGAAAGAGGGAGATGTAGATGGTTTGTATAGTTATGTGTATGAAGCTATATACACATACATACATTTATATACACACCTGCATACATAAACACACATACATACTTGTACTTTTACGTGTACATATAAGACCAGTGTTTTTTTTTTTTTTTTTAATGAATCAATAATGAATAGGCGCACTTGATTTAACTCCTTCACAATCCAGCACTTTTTGATAAAAAATATACTAGCATTTTGTTTAACATGGCCCAAGCATATTTGAGGCAATGGATGCATAACTAGCATATAAACATATTATAACACAGCCCATTTATGTATAAATTGGTTAGCATGCAAACTTAAAGGGACACTATAGTCATCAAAACAACAACTGTAGCTTTATGAAGCCGTTTTGGTGTATAGATCATGCCCCTTCAGTCTCACTGCTCAATTCTCTGCTATTAAGCAGTTAAATCACTATGTTTATGTAGCACGAGCCAAACAGGATTCCCTCTATTTGTTTAAGCTGCTAGTTGTATCATTTAATCTAGCCAACATATTTTCCATCTCGTGATGTTCGATATATAGAAGTGCAAATCAGCTAAACTGAATTGAGAGTAATTCTTAAGTAACTTCCCCAGAGTTTGCCATTGAGAACTGCGTACACTACTCCAAGTCAGATCTCACCAGTGTTCTGTACAATGGCACAAGCACTTCAAATCCCTTTAACATAAAAGTACTCCTATATCTGACTGTATAAAAGACTTCTAGATCACCAGAGTTGATGATTAAATTGCCAAAATAATTGCGGCATCATTTATTTTTTTAAATATTAACCCCTCAAGGACACATGGCATGTGTGACATGTCATGATTCCCGTTTATTCCAGAAGTTTGGTCCTTAAGGGGTTAAATCACACCGCATTAAATCAAGTTGTGTATCAGCTCAATTGTCTGTCAAGGCAAACCTTGCCATCAGCAAACAAAATGATCTGCTAGAGTTCCACTAAACTTTAACCTTAACTTTCCATTCTTTGGTAGAAGCAATAGTTGCATCGAACCTTTACTTAGAATGGTTAGAATAAATAACAAGCACAATATAAATATATGGGAGGCTTTCCTTTAACCCCATAAGCTGCTGGTAGTATTGTTCTTCCATCAATCAATTATTATTATTTTGTAAAATATTTTACATAGCCTTTTTGACCCCAACCAGTGGACAAACAAGTGGACCGTTTGAGTAAAATGCATACAGGGGCTGACTGACCGGTCGGGCACTTCGGACATGGTCCGAGGGCCCGGCCGGGAGGGGGGCCCGCCGCAAGGGCTGGATTGGGGGCGGCATCTGGGGACTTCAGAGGAAGGTGCCACCGGGTGGCCGGTCCGGTGGCACACTGTGAGGGGGCCGGCCACGTTTCATGCTGGAGCCGCCGGACCGGGTGGCAGCCTGTGCTGGGAATTGTGGGAACCGCAGGGAGCATGACAGAGAGACATGCTCCTCCTCCTTCAGCGTTAGTGAGAGGAATGCCGCCGGACCAGCGAGGCTGCCACCAGGTCCGGCGGCTCCAGCATGAAAGCGTGTACGGCCCCCCTCAGACTTAGTAAGAGGGGGCAATAGAGAATGGGGAGGGGAGAAAGAGCAGGGGGAACAGAATATGGGAGGGAGAAAAGAGGGGAACAGAGATGGGAGAGGGAGAAAGAGAACAGAATATGGGAGAATTGAGAAAGAGGTTTCTGTAGAAGATATGGGGAGAGGGGAGAAAAGAGGGAAACAGAGATGGGGAGGGAGAAAAGAGGGAAGAATAGAGACACAGGAGTGAGAAAAGAGGGAATAGAGATGGGGAGGGAGACAGAGAGAGGAAGAATAGAGACACGGGGAGAAAAGAGGAAATAGAGATAGGGAGGGAGAAAGAAAAGGCAAGAGGGAAGGAATAAGAGAGACACAGGGGGAGAAAGAGGGGGAATAGAGAGTTGGGGAGGGAGGAGAAAGAGAGGGAAGAATGAGACACAGGGGGAGAAAGAGATGGGGAGGGGGGAGAAAGAGACAGAGAGAAAAAGAGATATGGGGGAGAGAGTGACAGGGAAAGGGGGGAGAAAAACAGTGGAAGAGAGGGAGAAAGAGGCAGAGGGGTAAGAGAGACTGGGAAGGAGGGGGGAGAAAGAAACATACAGAGGGACGGGGGGAGACAAAAATGCTCACAGAAGGGCTGTATATATCACTGGTGGATCCAGGGGGGCAACGGGGCAATTGCCCCCTCTCCCCTGTCCGCAGGCACCGTGCGGGCAGGGGAGGAAGGAAGAGAGGACCTGGGAGCTCACCCTGCAGCTCCTCTGGGTCCTTCTTGCACGAGCACAGAGCGTTGCCGCGATTACCATGGGGGTAATAACTGCTTGATCCAAGGATAAATCTGACTGCCATTCTGGGGTCAAGAAGGAATTTTTTTCCTAGCTTGTTGCAAAATTGTGCTTCAAACTGTTTTTTTTTGCCTTCTTTTGGATCAACAGCAAAAAACAAATGTGAGGAAGGCTGAACTTGATGGACGCAAGTCTCTTTTCAGCTATGTAACTATGTAACTATGTAACGTTACCGCTCTTGCGAGAGTCAACTCTAGCCCTGGAGCTACGGTCTAGTGTTCACTCTCAACACTGTGACCCCAAGGGATTCCTGGTGGTCGCAGTGGTGAGAGTGAACTCTAGCCCCATAAACACACTGCCCCCACACACACCATACCCATTCACACACTGCCCCCATACACACCATACACATTTACACACATTGCCTCACACACACACATACACTGCCCACCCATATACACACAGACCCCCATACACAGCCCCCATACTAACATTGCCACACACATACACAGCCCACACACCCTACACATTCACACACTACACCCCCACACACACTGAACCTTTCACACACATTGCACCACTGCTCCTATTCCCTACTACAGCCCCATATCCCAGCAGATCCCAGGTAAGTTGTCAAACTGTTCTTAAATGGTTTGACTACTTACTCTGGAGCAGTAGTGGTTATTGTGCATGGATTATTTCTTTAAATAATCTACAAGTGCCCCAGTAGCCAGCCAGGCTGGCCAGTAGCCAGCCAGTTAGCCAGCCCACAGGCCAGTAGCCAGCCCACAGGCCTACAGCAAGCCACAGGCTTACAGCCAGCAAGCCCACAGCCTGCCAGCCGCAGCCACAGCCTGCCAGCCGCAGTCAGCAAGCCCACAGCCTGCCGGCAGTAGCCAGCAAGCCCACAGCCTGCCAGCCACAGCAAGCAAGCCCACAGACTGCCAGCCAGCAACAGTAATTAAGGTAAGAGGAGCCAACTTGGCCTAGGTATCAGCGAGCTATGTTGTGTTGCTATATTGTGAATAGGAACCAGAGTGTTGGAGAGACCACCCTCCAGGCCCCATTAGACTCCATTGTAGTCTCTAATGGGGCCTGGAGGAGATTCTTTCTAACACACTCTCTAAAGGACACTGAGATAGCCTCTGCTAGAAATCCCCTCCATGGCCCATTAGCCCTCAATTGTAGTCTCTACTGGGGCCTGGAGGCGACTGTTTCCAGCAGGGCATATCTAATGGACGCTGAGATGGCCTCTGTTAGAAAGACCCCCTTCCAAGCCTATTAGACTCCATTGTAGTCTCTAATGGGGCTTGGAGGGGATTCTTTCTAACACACTCTCTAAAGGACACTGAGATAGCCTCCGCTAGAAAGACCCCCCTCCATGGCCCACTAGCCCTCAATTGTAGTCTCTGCTGGGGCCTCGAAGGGCTTATTGCCCTTTTGTTCCTTGTGTCTAAAGATTGTGTAGGGTGTGGCTGGAGGCGGTGCATGGAGGCGGGACAAGGGTGGTGCTTGCTGCAGAGTATGGGTGGGGCCTGTAAGGGGGCCCTTGATTTATTTTGCCCTGGGGCCCTGGGGGTTCTCAGTCCGCCCCTGAATGCATAATAAAAATTACTTTGTAATCAGAATGTTTACTATCATTCTAGCTATCAGTGACTAACCCTCTCCTCCACACAACAAGGATAAATATGTTCTTGGAGTCTCAAAAATAGTATAGAATAATTATAGTGACTTGGAGTACTTCCAAGTGCATGGAAAGGCTCCAGCCACCCATTGAAGAATCCCCATTATTAATATATATTGTGTCTATTTCTCATTATTCCTACATCCCAAGTTATAGAAGGGTAATGTATGGCTTTCATGATAAGGAAAGGGAGTAGCACATGTCATGATACAGCCGTGATAAAGAAAGGTGATGCAGGTCATGATATGTCATTATATGGGAGGGTAACACATTTTTCTGTGCTCTGTATATGCAATGATGCAATACCCAAGTGCCATTGTCAAAATACTAAAGGACAAAGGGAAGCTAGGACCCTTGATAACTGTGTAAAGCAACAAAGACCAGTTCTGGCCAAGGGAACAGTTCCTAGAATTTCCAATTGTTCCTGGTGGCAAGGTAAAAATATAGTTTGCTTATATGAAAATCGTTTTTAACCCCTTAAGGACACATGACATGTGTGACATGTCATGATTCCCTTTTATTCCTGAAGTTTAGTCCTTAAGGGGTTAAAGCTCTGTGGTTGTTTTGTGGCACTCAGTCCATCCCAGGTATATTCTGTATAATTTTTGGTATATTATCTCTAGATCGTATCACTAAGGAATGGACCATTCCTATGGAGTCAAGTGAACCCTTTGGCTTTTCTACCTATTGTTAGAATCAGCAATGTTCGCTGTGTGTAGATCGTGGTTTTTCTACTCTCTTTTTGCCTTAAGGCAGCCTGTAATTCAATGAGGTGAACAGGTATGTGAGATGTTGGCACGTGGTATAGATACAGTAAGGGAAAAAAGAAACTGATCCCCTGCTGATTTTGAAATACTTATTTCACTCATTGACATGTAAATCAATCTATAATTTTTTTGACATGCGTTTTTCTGAATTTCTTTTTTTGTTATTCTGTCTCTCACTGTTAAAATACACCTTCCATTAAAATTACAGACTGGTAATTTCTTTGTCAGTGGGCAAATGTTCAAAATTTAGCAGGGGATCAAATACTTTTTCTCCTCACTGTAGCATCTGTAATAATAAGCATCTAATATGTTGATCTTTGGATACATTTCCTCTTCAGATTATGTAACCATAATGATCTGGTAATGAGTCTACATTTGAATGTGCCACTCGTTAACAGGATGCAATATCTTTGCCCTGGTGGTAAACAAGTTGAACATTCCATTCCATAATAATATATAGGGATGTTCCTGGGCAAGAAATTCGGCGCTTTGGCAATTCCCTAACCATAAACTCTACCTCTAACCCTACCCCTAATCCCATACCCCTACCCCAATCCCTAATCCCAACCCTAACCACCACAACCACTTACACATCTAGGGTTAGGGGTAGGGTTAGATTTCTGTCATCATTCCCATAATTTTCCCTCCCTGTCCTGTTTTGCCACTTTTCAGAAATCCAAAGCACTTCGGCACTTCCGAAATTCATCCGAATTTGAATTCAGAACTAAACGACTTGCACGTCTAATAATAAAAAGTAATCAAGAATTACAGAGAAAACCAGATATAAACTACAACAAAATGAATCAGGATGCTGGTGGGAAAAGGCTGACTGGAGATGGACCACAACACAGTGTGACAGAGGATGAACGAATGTCAGAGACATCTTTTAAAATATCCATTGTGCATCATTGGCAATGCTCTTTGGCATAGACTTTTAAACGAGAATGTCCTGTTTCACGCTAACATTTCTTGCGTATGAAACAATAGATACGTGGAAAATAGTGACTTTTTGAGGTAGTGCTATCTTTACAAAAGCCTGTCTTTAAACAGAAACATTCTTTTATATTTAAGCTAAACACTTTGTCCTTGGAGGAAGTAGGTTTGAAAAAAAAATGCTACTGTTCTACAGGATTTTTTTTTGCTTGTGAATTATACAGAAATAACCATACGGCTAAGCCTAGAGTTATATAGTAATTGTGTTCTTATAAAATGGGTTACTTAAAGAATGTATTTGGCTTCATTCACAACCACCTGTTTTGGTGGCAGGACCTTAGGACCTTCCAGCAATTGTGCAGATCACAGAACGATGCTTGTCTGATTACTTGTACTGTAGTTGTAACAGCAGTTATAGTTCAGCATTCTGCTGAAACATTGAGGTCGTAACTTGTAATGCAGTTTGTGAGAAATTTCATCCTTGGTTGTTGGCTCGCGTGAAACATTGCGACTTATTGCGAAGTCTAGTAAGTCCCATTTGAACTTTAACTGACAACTATTAAGGCAGATATCATCATCCTCCTGGACAGGGGAGTGAAATATTTTACCACATAACTATGTGGCCAAGTATACTTTGCTCCTTTTTGCTGAAACTTTGCTTTTGACCGTGCTCGTCTGGGACTCATGTCCTTTTCAGTGGTGTTTGCAGGAATCATGAAGCATATAGCAGGTGGTGAAACAGGATTAAGTGAAACAGGATGAGGATCCCCACCAGGAACATGTCAGAAGGCCCTTGTCTTGTCTGAGACTGTCAAGGAGGCAGATCAGGGGCAGAGCCAGCACAAGTCAAACACAGCCCTGGCCAATCAGCATCTCCTCATAGAGATACATTGAATCAAAGCATCTCTATGAGGAAAGTTCAGTGTCTCCATGCAGAGGGTGGAGACACTGAATGGCAGTGCTGTTCACTGTGCAGCACTGCCACAGGAAGCACCTCTAGTGGCCATCTGAGGAGTGGCCAGTGGAGGTATCCCTAGGCTGTAATGTAAACACTGCATATAAGACATTTTCAAACTGTAATACACTGCAAAGACAGAAATAAAACAATGTAGAGGAATAACTAACTCACCAACAAAAGCAAAAATACAGGGCAGTAGCAGGGTCGGACTGGCCCACTGGGATACCGGGAAATTTCACAGTGGGCCGCAGCACCTGGGGCCGAGCAGACAGCCCAAATCATCATGCTTATAATGTAATGTAAGCATTTTCCCCTCCGACTGTGCCAGCCTGAGTCAGTCCAAGGGGAGTAAAGAGGAAGGAGCTGGGGGCTGGTGCGGCTGCAATAAGGCTGCTGGCAGCCGGAGGGAGACCTGTCAGTCTCCCTTCAAAATTTACAGCAATTCTGACTGCATGCCCCACCCCTGCATTAAGGCTCCACCTCCTGAAGGGAAACTCCGACTCCCGCACGCAAGCTCCGCCCGCACGTTGCTGACCCAGTTGGAAAGAAGAGGCCACATAATGGCAGCTTCACCTATCAGTGCCTGGTAAGCTTCTGCCATGACAGTGATTGTGTGTGTGCCTGCTAGTGAGTGAGCTTGTGGATGTGTGTGTGTGCGTGCTAGTGAGTGAGCTTCTGTGTGTGTGTGTGCGCTAGTGAATGAGCTTGTGTGTGTGTCTGCTAGTGAGTGAGCTTGTGTGTGTGTGTGCCTGCTTTTGAGTGAGCTTGTGTTTGTGTGTGCCTGCTAGTGAGTGAGCTTGTGGGTGTGTGTGTGGGCCTGCTAGTGAGTGAGCTTGTGGGTGTGTGTGTGTGGGCCTGCTAGTGAGTGAGCTTGTATGTGTGTGTGTGCCTGCTAGTGAGTGTGCTTGTGTGTGCCTGCTAGTGAGTGCGCTTGTGTGTGTGTGCCAGTGAGTGTGCTTGTGTGTGTGTGCCTGCTAGTGAGTGAACATGTGTGTGTGTGTGTGTGCCTGCTAGTGAGTGAGCATGTTTGTGCGCTAGTGAATGAGCTTGTGTGTGTGTCTGCTAGTGAGTGAGCTTGTGTGTGTGTCTGCTAGACGGTGAGCTTGTGTGTGTGTGTGTGTGTGTGTGTGCCTGCTAGTGAGTGAGCTTGTGTGTGTGTAAAAATGTCCCCTGCTTCCAAATAGTAAAGGACGTTTTAATCGGTGAGATCGTTCCTACAGTCAGGGAGGGGGACTAAATGGACTCTACCATTTCACTTTCAGCATTACATTAACCAAAGATTGCTAAAAAATGATATAACAGTTTTAATATCTATATTTTAGAAATATATGATTTAACTTTATTTACTATATGTGGGCATTCTGCAGACATTCTTTTTGCAATATTCAGTACGCTGCACTACTAGTAATGTAGTAATGCTTTCGTGGTTATTGAAAACACCTACAAGCATGACATTAGACCATTTTTATTTATCTATATTTGACACACCGACTGTGTGTGAGAAAACAGCTAACTGTCATTTTATTCATTAAATTGTATGGCATTTTATTTAGCATAACTGGCTTTTATTCTTGTTAATCCATGTCAAACCTGTTGTCAAGAGGAACTAAACTTCTGTTTGTAACCTATTTTATTATTTTAACAGACCGTAAAATTGGTTGTGCACTTTTTAATATAGAAAATTTTTAAACATAGAACATTGGAGCAAATGTGGCAATCTAAGCAAATATTCAAACAAACCCTCCCTTGATCATACACACTTGCGAATTCCGTTTGAGGACATGCCATCGTTAATCTAGTCACTTTTCAGCTCTGAGTGTGTTTGTTTAAATACAGAAAGCGTATGTGTTCAGTCCAAATGCCAGATTTGCTAGTTAGAACACTCGTGCATTTTTTTTCTTTTTTGTATGAGAATGCAATATGCTACCCTGTTTGTATTTGTAAAAAAAAATTTTTGAACTACAAAACAAACAGTGAATTAAAAAAATTAAAATATTCTTCTATCACATCTCAGGGTTGTAGTATTACTGGGCAGACTCTGTACTCATGGTCTGTAGGAGACTAATAATTGCAGTGATCTCTTAAAACTTCCTCATTTCCTGTGAGTGTATCTCCTGATCCTTATAACCACGTGTGTCTCTCCTTACACCCTTTACACCTGACCTCTCTATCGCCCTGTGTAACTCTGCTTACTCCCTTACCTCCTTGTTTGTCTCATCAAACACACAAATTAATTTTGTGCTTTGCTGATATGTTACCTACTGTGATTGTAGGGCAAGCATGTCAAGCTCAAAGTCTGGCATGGGCCACATAAACAAGATTTACGTTTATGCGGGCTGCAAAAAAAAACCCCAACAACCTTAAAGGAGCACTATGGGGTCAGGAACACAAATGTATTCCTGACCCTATAGGGTTAAAACCACCACTTAGCCCCGCTGGTCCCCTCATGCCTCCATAAATATAGTAAATCTTACTTGTATTCAAGTCTGAAGCTGCAGACTTTGTCCCTGTTTCCTTTAGATCTGCCCACTGCCTGCTGACATCATCAGAAGTGGTAGCAGGGCCGGTGCAAGGACTTTTTGGTACACAGGCGAAGATGATTTTGGAGCCCCCCCCCAAAAGCATCTTCATCTGTGTGTCTCTTAATCTGCCTTTTGTTTCTTAACCCCTTTTTTAACTGTCTTACCCCGTTTAGTGTCTTATCCCCTATTTTTCCCAATTGTGTGTCTTACACCTCCCTTGTGTATCTCTTACAAACCCCCTTTGTATTTCTTTCTCCCCCCAGCCTCTTTGTGTGTCTCCTTCTCTCTCAGTCCATTTGTGTCTTTTACTCTTACCAGCTCCTTTATGTATTTCTTTCACCATCAGCCCGTCTATCTCCCCCGAGCCCCTCTGTGTCTCTTTTTCCTCTTCTCCAACCCCTCTGTGTCTCTTTCACCCCAGCCTCTTTGTATTTCCACTCACAGGCCTTTTTGTCTGGCGCTTTCATTCCCAGCCCCTCTGTGGACTTTCTCACGCCAAGGCCCATCTGTGTGTCTTTCTCCCCCTCATGTCCCTCTGTGTCTTTCTCCCCACTCAGGCCCCCCTGTGTGTCACTCTCCCCTCCATGTCCCTTAGTGTTCCTCTCTCCTTCCTTCCATGTCCATTAGTGGTCCAATCCCCTCCCTGTCCATTAGTGTCCTCTCCCCTCCCTGTCCCTTAGTGCTCCTCTCCCCTCCATGTCCCTTAGTGTTTCTCTCCCCTCCATGTCCCTTAGTGTTCCTCTCCCCTCCCTTCCCTGTCCCTTAGTGTTCCTCTTCCCGCTCCCTTACCTGTCTCTTAGTGCCCCCCATTCCCCATAATTTTCCTCCCACCCCCCATCTTAGTGTTCCTCTCCCTTCTCTTTTAGTGGTCCACCCACTACCTCAGTGTTCATTTTCCCTTCCCTCCCCTGTTCCTTAGTGCCTCACTTTAATGTTCCTGTCTCCCCCCTACTGTTCCTCTACCTTCCCTCTTTTTTAGTGTTCTTCCCCCTCCCCTGTCCCATAGCGTTCTTTCCCCCCTTCCCTGTCCCATAGCATTCATTCCAGCCATAGTTTCCCTTCCCCCCACCCATAGTTTTCCTTCTCCCCTCCCATAATTTTCCTTCTCCCCATAGTGTTCCTCCCCCCCATAGTTTTCCTTCTCCCCCATAGTTATTCTTCCCCCTTCCATAGTTTTCCTTCTACCCCCACCATAGTGTTCCTTCTCCCCCTCCCATAGTTTTCCTTCTAACCCCCACCATATTGGGCAGACTAGATGGGCCGAATGGTTCTTTTCTGCCGTCACATTCTATGTTTCCTTCTCCCCCCTTCCCATAGTGTTCCTTCTCACCCATAGTGTTCCTTCTCCCCATAATGTTCCTTCACACCCCCACCATAGTGTTCCTTCCTCCTCCTATAGTTTTCCTTCTCCCACCATAGTTTCCCTTCTCCCCACCATAGTGTTCTCTCCCTCCTATAGTGTTCCTTCTCCCTCCCATAGTTCTCCTTCTCCCCCACCATGGTCTCCTTCTCCCCCCTAACTGTCATTTTATTCATTAAATTGTATGGCATTTTATTTGGCATAACTGGCTTTTATTCTTGTTAATCCATGTCAAACCTGTTGTCAAGAGGAACTAAACTTCTGTTTAGTTCTCCCTACCATGGTTTTCCTCTCCCCTTCCCATAGTACTCTTCTCCCCCCAGAGTGCTCCCTTCTCCCCATAGTGTTCTTCTCCCCATATGTGTTCCTACTCCCATGTGTTCCCTATGGTGTTCCTACTCCTCCCATTGTGTTCCTTCTCCCCCTCATGGTGTTCCTACTTCCCCATGGTGTTCCTACTCCCCTCACCTGGTGTGCTCCTACTTCCCTGGTGTTCCTACTTCCCCATGGTGTTCCTTTCCCCCCCATGGTGTTCCTCCCCCCCCAACCCCATGGTGTTCCTACTCCCCCCCAGTGGCTTGTGCCACCTTATGGACGCACAGGCCCTAAGTGGTAACCTGATCCAATCACAATGCTTCCCCATAGGATTGGCTGAGACTGACAAGGAGGCAGATCAGGGGCAGAGCCAGCACACCTGGCTAATCAGCATCTCCTCATAGAGATGAATTGAATCAATGAATCTTTATGAGGAAAGTTCAGTGTCTGCATGCAGAGGGAGGAGACACTGAATGTTTCGATGCATTTTAGGCAGCCATGACCTAGGAAGGATCTCTAACAGCCATCTGAGGAGTGGCCAGTGAAGTTATCACTAGTCTGTAATGTAAACACTGCATTTTCTCTGAAAAGACAGTGTTTACAGCAAAAAGCTTAAGGCAATGATCCCTATACTAAATCCCTGTCCCCCATATACTGAATCCCAGTCCCCCCATATACTAAATTCCAGTCCCCACCCCCATATACTAATCCCAGTCCTCCCCCTCTACTAAATCCCAGCACACCCCCTCTAGTCAACAAGCAGAATCCACTCACATTGCTGCTGCCAGTATGCGACTCCTCTGGTATACTCCAAATGGCACCGTTTGCACCCTGTGCCAAATCTGATCCTCCCACTACTTCTTGAAACCCTGTGAAGGTGGAGCACGTTGATGTCACGTTGGAATGTGACGTGGCGTTGTGTGCCTCCTTGCACCTCCAGGTACTCCACTGTACAGTCGCAGCCAATGCAACACTGACCAACACACACTCACTGACAGGCACACATAGACACTGACAGACACACAGACACACAAACTCAGTGACACACACACTTACACATACACTACAGATGGTGCGCGCGAGGGAGCAGTGAGAAGCAGGAACACTGAGCTCCCTCGCTGGCCCTCCTCCCCAGCCGGGTAAGTTTTAGCAGAGTAGGCACCTGCAATGTGGGGGAAAGCAGGTGCCTACTCTGCTATAACACCAGCATGTACTCGCGGCTCGCCGTGCCGCAAAGATTTCCGTTGCCGCGAGTTTGACATGCTTGTTGTAGGGCAACCAAGGTAGAGCCTGTGCATGTTTCTAGGCCTGGCCTGTCAGTCTCTTGTGTGAGATTAAACAAAATATAGGGCTTGATTTAATATTTTTGGATGAGCTTTTTCAAATTATTTAATATTTTTAGATACATTTTTAATAATGTTTTTTCCAAAATATCAATATATATATAAAAAAATTAAATATCAAAATATTATTATATTTTTCAAATATTGGTATATGTAATATACCATGGCTATATATAAAATATTTTTGATATTTTAATATTTTGAAAAATATATATATAGAGTTTATCCCATAAATTATTCGAAAAGCTTATTAAAAAAATATTAAATCTAGGCCTAGTTGGAGGTTGAAGTTGCACTGGCAAACTTGCAGAGTGACAGTGCGAGGAAGGGATGCTGTGTACACCAATCCCCTCTTTATGTGCTACTGCTCCTGTAAGAATTTCTTGTAAACTTTTTATTTTTTATTTTTACAGGTCATCAGGGTCCATTCTGTGTCTAGCCAAAAGAGAATCATTGCTGAAACCAAATGTGGACAGATTTTATCCTTGCCATACAAGTTGCAAAGCTTGAAATTCTTATTACCTCCAGTGACTAATCCAATTCAAGGTAAATTCCATTTTCCACATGTCACATGTTAAACCCCCCGTAAGTTCATTTGTCATGGATCTCTAGGTCCCTGGAGTTCACTGCTGGAGTATGAGCTCAGCTACGGGAGACCAGCAAGTCCTACCCAGGTGAATTAACTTTGTTCTTCAAGCAGCTCAAAGCTGCATCAGCAATCCATAGGTCAGACTGCTGAAGATCAAATGGCAAATACGTAGCAAGAGGGCTTTTTATTAAATAGCAAATTTGTAGCAACTAATTCTGCAGTTTAAAGCAATCAGACCACATTTTTCACCAGGTTAAAGAAACTTAACGTTAAAATTATATGGTTTTGTTGCAATCTAAATCAAGCCACATAAGCCCTGAATTGGAACTGAAGGACAATTACAAGTCTCAACTTCTAGCCCTGGCTCGTTTTATTTTGCTATTTCCTTACTGGACAGTTGTGTATCACAAGTAACTATCCCCTATAATCACTGAGAGACCTCCTATCACTGAGAGACGTCATTAAATCCTTCTGCACCTTAAACATTAGGGTGCAATCAAAGAAGCCACCGTTGAAGGTGAAAACTTATATTTGGGTCTCTAGATTATTATTATTATTATTATTATTATTATTATGTTACTGTTTATATAGCTGTATCTTCCTTGTTTTATACTAGCCATTAACTACTGAAACTGTATCATACTGAGCTGTAATATAGCTAAGATAAATGTGTCACACAGAATTCCGAAGTATAATATTATCCACACCAATCACAGCTCTGTGTAAGGCAGTGCATTTCAGTAACTGGCATATAACCTAGCCAGCTAATCAAAAAAGGTTTAAATTTGAGGCACTTTCCCTTTAAGAAAAAAATATAAATATATATATATTTATTATTATATTAAATTTTTTTTTAAGATTTATCTTTAATAAATCCTGCTTCTAGTCTTCAGTTCTCTAATGAACACTGAAAATGTTAGTTTTAAAACTGAAGTGCACTTTTTCTTACATCAAGGGTTACTTAACTTGTATTTTGCCATGCAATCATTTTTCTTACTGAAAATCAACATCCTTGCAAACTATCGAGGTTAAAATACATTAACTATATGTGCGTATCCTTTGTCGAAAACGTAGGTAGTCAATCATCTGAACATTACTTTAAAATATAAACTATTTCAAAATATTTATTTATTTTTATAAACAATATGTTGTTTTTTTTCCAATCAGTAAGATAACTGTAAGTATAAAGGCGCATACCTCTGAGGCCACTGGGTTTCTGTTAAGTTGACCTCTTAAATTTTATGCTTTGAAAAGTAAATAAAAATTGCCTACTAAAATTGCGTCATATTTCTTATAGATTAACTTTGTTCTATTATCTCAAATGCATTAACTAACTGCTCAAGCAGATTTATTCTTACGTTTTTAAAATTGGGCTAATATGACAGTGTGACTCAAACGTTTTTTTGTAGTGATTTGTGTTTTGTGCATGGCATTTTGATGGCATTATCCATAATGATCCATAATTCTTATATAATGTTATACCATCCCCACTTGGTAGGTTGGATTGGAAGGTAGAGGACATACATACTGTCAGATTGACACAGTGGTAATTGGAGTGGGTTGGGGGTTAGAAACTTTAGGACACTCTAGCCATGGAGAGCATTGGAGATGGGGGTTTAACCTTATTGGAACTGGATTGGATTTATTTATTTTTTAACAGGGAAATTTTTTTTCCCCTTTCAATACCAGTGTAGAAAGCACTGCCCAACATTACTCTGTGCTGTGCCTGGGTAGCTTGGCTCGAGTCACATGTATACATTAGATGCAGACTGTATGCAAAATAAAATGTTTACACTCCCAAACTGCAAAGCCAACTCATAAATAGCTAATGGAGTCGTAGTTTCTATGAATTTTTATGGAACAGTTTTGCTAACGTTAACCCCTCCCCCCTGCCCTTCTTTTTTATTGTGGCAGAGACACATAGTTAAAATCTTTTTAGCATAAATGTGTTTAGCTACATAGATGGAAAAAATTGTGTTGGACACTATGAAATTAACTCCTTTGCATCTGGGATGAGGTCAAAACTTTTTCTTCTTTTTAAATCAAACCTAATTCAGTACGTGTTCACCCTAATCGCTTTGGTTTTTTTAATGCAGGTTTTAAGGTCCGAATTCCCATGACGTTGGAAGAAATATTAGCCAAGTACAGCCTACCTATCACTGTTTACTCTGCCAAGCTCCTTTCTTATAAGGAGAAGGGTGATATCAAAGCTGGGAATGGAATGGTTTCTGAACTTACATTACAAGACGCTTACGATGAATCATTTCTGCTTGGACATCCCATTGATAAGGGTAAATGAAACCAAAAATCATGTCTTATATGTTTATAAATAATTTAATAATAAGGGCCATTGATTCATACATTTGTTTAACTCCTAATGCTGAACGGGTATCATCAGGAAGTGAAAATATTAATATTACACAACTGTAGAATAGTAAAAAAATAAAAATGTATGTTGGCCAGTCATCTTCTAATTATTGTTCTGAAAATATTTTTTATAACACCAGGCTACGGTACTAAAATAAAAGATTTAGAGTAAAATATGTATTAATTTATGGTAATTATAAATTATACATTTTATTTTAAACATTCTAAGAATATTGTTATAAGAATCTTACCAATGGAAAATATTATTCAATCAAAACTTTAATTACAAAGTAGATACCAAAATACCAGGTAGCTAAACCAAGGCTAAAAGACAAAGGACTACTTTATTTAAAAAGAGCAATGCAGAACGGATGGTCTATATCAAACCGTATATATATGCACAGACCATAGATATGGCTGAAACTGGCATGGATTAACTGAGTGTAAAAAACTCAGGGTTACAGAGTTTAGGCGTTAGGTGTTGATGGAGTTAGAGTGATAGAAGGGAAGGAGATGGGATGGGGGAGAAAGTGGTCATGATGGTGAGAGAAAACAGGTTTAGGGAACATATGCCCCTAACTGAAAAAACAATACAGTTAAAATGTTAAATTCAAAAAAGAAAAAACACGAAGAAAGAAACAAAGTGTGTTATGTGTACAAAATAATACATTTGAGAAGATAATTATGCTATTGTTAGGATAGTGGTTAAGTGCAGCCAGTATGTATACCATCTAAAAACAGTGTAAGGAAATTATTTTAGATGGTTTAATTAGATGGAAAGTCTAAGACACTGATGGTTGATGGGGTTTGAAGATATTTAAGAATTCTTTTATAAAGTATTTTATTGCTATTTTATGTATTTTCTGCTAGTTATGTCACATTGGCTATTTCTATAGAAGTTAAGATACAAATACCGAATTTTAGTAGAATTAAAGCAGAATTTTTTATGTGTTTTAAAATGCCGATTAATTGTTTTATTTTATTTATAAAGGAAAGATATTTGTAGAAGAGCCCATTATGGTTCCTATGTACATGACGGAGCTCAAACTGGTGGTTGCAATGGGACTTATGGATGAAAACAATATAAAGTGGAAAGAGATGTGTGAAAAGTTAACTTTTGAAGTACAAAGTAAAGGGCATTCGTCAGAAGCCACATTTCAGGGTAAGTCTCGGATTGTAATGTTAAAAAGCAGGGCTCCATAGTTCTACACTAGTAGTCAGGATTAAAAGTTACTCACTGATGGAAGTGTGGAGGACATATTAACCAGGAGTGAACTTCTACTTGCCACTGGTGAGCAGCAATAATTAGAATTTTCTTTCCCTGCACAAAAGGATTAAAAACAAATCAAAACACAGCAACATAACAGGACAACCTAGACTGAATTGTTGTGGTAAGGGTGGGTGAGATCCTGGGATCGAGGTGTCTTAAATTTATCAAGTGAGTGAGAACAACTATTTTACCAAGCAATCAGGGAAGGTCCACAGGATCTTTAAGGCAGGCTCTCCCTAAACTAACCCCAAAGCCCACCAAACCCAAAGCTACCCAAATTACAGGTAAGTACCTAGCCAAAATCTACAGCGATTTCTAAGTGCTCCTAGCATCTTTTTAAACCATTGCTCTACAGAGTATAATACATTCGGTGTGTTTTCCTAACTGTCAATGTTGGATGATTGTCCACTACTGGATCACCGCTTTGTCTGGACTGCAGGAAAAGGGTCATTTGTATATCTTAGGTGTAATGAGTATACATAGCTTTGAATGTGCTGGCTTCCTGTTGTGGCTGCTTCGGCTTAGAATAGAGAGATTTTAGCTTTATTGAAACAAACTGTGGCATGTTCAGTCTGTTGTGACACTCGTGTTGTAATGTGTGTTGTATAGACAAAGGCTTGCAATAGAATAATTGACATCGGCCTCAGTTTGACAAGTTTTCTAAACGATTCAGTAATGTTAGAAAAATGTCTATTGCTTTATCTACAAGAATTCCCATAGACGTTAATGGTGACTAATGTAGATAAATCGCTTAGAAACTTTTCTAACTATATTAAATAATTTAGAAAGCTTCTTAAAGGCACACTATAGTCACCTGAACAACTTCAGCTTAATGAGGTTGTTCAGGTGAGAACTATGCTCCCTGCAGCCTTTCTCATGTCAACACTGTATTTTCTGAGAAAATACAGTGTTTACATTGAAAGCTAGGAACACCTCCAGTTGCAGTCACTCAGAGTGAACCAGAGGGACTTCTGAGTTGATTGAGGCATACAACTCCTCAATCCACTCAGATCTGCTGTCAGCAGAGCACAGGGCAGCACTGGGTCTCCTCACTCTGCATGCAGACACTGAACTATCCTCATAGAGATTCATTGATTCAATTCATCTCTACGAGGAGATGCTGATGGGCCAGGGCTGTATGTGAATCATGCTGGCTCTGCCCCTGATCTGCCTCTTTGTCAGTCTCAGCCAATCCTATGGGGAAGCACTGTGATTGGATCGGGCCACCACTTCTTATGATGTCAGCAGACTGCTTTTTTTTTTTTTAGGCAAACAGGATGCAGATTTACAGCTTCTGGCTTGAATACAGTAAGATTTTGCTATATTTATGAAGGCATGAGAGGCCCATGGGCGCTAGATGGTGGTGTTAACACTATAGGATCAGGAATACATGTAGCTGCACTGGTGACTATAGTGTCCCTTTAAATTGAGGCCATAATTAGCAATACAAAGTATATATAAAAACAAAGGCTTTGATTAAGTGACACTATAGGCACCCAGCCCACTTTAGCTCATTGAAGTGGCCTGGGTGCACGGTTTCAGGTCCCTTAATTCTGCAGTGGTAATTACTGCAATTGTTAACAAACTGCAATAATTACCTTAAAGGGTTAACTCCACCTCTAGTGGCTGTCTACCAAACAGCCGCTAAAGGGACTTCTGGGTCACCTAACAGACGCTAGACATTCTCACGCTTTGCATGAGGACATCCTGCATTAATCAAAACCCCATAGGAAAACATTATACAATGCTTTTCTATGGGGGAAGTCCTAAGGCGAGTGCGGCCATTGTAGCGAAGGTGAAGCCTGAACCAGCACCGAGGGACATCGGAGCTGGAATCTGAGTTTTTAACCCCTTCTGCACCAAGGGGAAGGAGAGGGAGCAACAGAGGGGGGAACTATAGGGAGCTATAGTGCCAGGAAAACAACTATAGTTTCCCTTTAGTTAAATCTTTTCATAACTAAATATTATGTTTGTTTATTTTTGTTAACATAATTCTATCTGGTACAACTGTTTGTAAATTTGTTTGTTTGTGTATTCTTCCAAGTCTGTGACTGGGTGTCCCACATGGAAATGTCCCCAATAAATGTAGCACATGCTCATCTTTGGAGTAGCCTCAGGGCATTGAGCGTATGTCAGAGTGCTTCAGAAATACCCTGAGTGGGTTCAGCCGGACAGGCTGTTAGTTATCCATGTACATCAGGATGACAAAACCACTTTGTTTGTTGGGTTTCCCATTTTACAGCCTAGTCCTCCCTCCCCCTTCTTGCCCACCCACCAGCCTGTCTAATTTCCATATCATCATTATTGGGAGTTATGTTAGTTTGTACTGCTCTTTAACAGTATACAAATATGTGGCATCATTAGTGTAGCAGATCCCCAGGTAACCCGACCAGTTAGTTCCCTTCCTTCAGCCGATCAGGAACTCTTACATGGTTATGGGACTTAGCTCTGTGCGCTCCCAGAAAGGGATGGCACTCAGTCCTGGAAGCTCTTAGTCCTTAGAAGGACTTTCCCTGGCTGCATCCCCTGCAAGTTAGAACTGCAGACACAGGGGTTAAATCTTCCTCCCCTCCGGTAACTAGACAAGACACAGTTCAGGTCCAGAAAAGTCTACCATAGTTCCAACCCCCCCCCCCCCACACACACACACACACACACATTTTTAACATTACAAAAGGGCTTAATTGATTGTATGAAAGGACACACCTTACAACCTGACTCCAACAGAGCTATTCGGTAAGGTGTGAGAAGTCACAACTTAATGCCCTGGAAGCCTGGTTTGCCTCTTAGATAGGAAGTCCTTTGACATATTAATGCTAATCAGCTTTTAGGAACAAACAACCCCTTGTGTTTCAATATCATATCCAGCACAATCTTCCAATCCAGCCCAAATATGATTTGCCTTTTAGATAGGGAGATCCCCGAGATGAGGATCTGAAACAATGCAGGCAAGCGAGTGGGCATAAGTGGGTATGGTACTCAGTGACGGCGGTCCGTCACAATTAGAGAGAGAGAAGATAGACGATCTGTGTGTCTTTCAGGGCTTGACTGATAGTTGCAAGAGATGTATTGACATAAGGCGGAAGTTTTACTTTCCAGCCTAACTATCTCTAGCTAGCATATTGATCTTAAACTTAAGGATACTAACAAATATATTGAGGTTTTAAAACTTGTGCACTTATAGATTCACCCCAGTAGAGTGCGCTGCTGGTTTATATAATTCAGTCCAATAGGAATTGATTATTCAAATCCAGACTAGAAACTGGAAATTGGATTTGAATAGAAATTCTGATGAAGATGTCAGTGGGTTGATTTAGTAGTTTTATAATAACCCCTCTGCTATCTATTGTTAAGTCATTGTCCACCAGAGATTTCCACTATTAACCATGTTCGTCGCTGCCTTTATGAGATACATCATGTCATTGTTGACAATACTGAGCTAAGGGCTATACACCTCCTCACCTGCCACAAGAAAAACTGGCCATGGAGAAAAGACTGATGGGGATTCTATATTACCAGATAAAACATAAAAAAAAAGAAAAAAAAAAGATTAAGATAATAAAATAATTAAAAAATATATATAATAAAATGACCAGAATGATTCCCCTGCTTTCTCCACATACACATTGGCATGCAGGGTTGAAGACTGGGCAAATGCCACATAATCATTCTGTCGCTTGTTCCCATTGCTCTAGTGCATGCTTCCTCAAATTCCGGCCCTCCAGATGTTGCTGAACTACAACTCCCATGATTATCAGCCTATTTCATTCATAGAATCATGGGAGTTGTAGTTCAGCAACATCTGGATGGCTGGAATTTGAGGAAGCCTGCTCTAGTGCAATGAACCCTAAATGTCCAAGTCATTGGGCCCATGTAACAAAGAACCAGGTCAGCACAGGTTTCTGCTCTTGATTGCAAATCTCTGTCACCTTTTCATAAAAGAGTAAAATAAAACTCTCGTCCAATTAACTCAATTCTCAAATATACCATGGTTTTAGATCTACATATATAAGGCATATTTAGATAAACCATACCACACACACATAGCAACGCAAATATTTTTTCTACATTCCCCTCTCCCAGAATTCTATGCAAAACATGCAAATAACTATTCACAGCGTCACCTGTTAATTTTTTCCATAAATGTATACTAATATAAGGATTATTCTAGAGCTTTTTAATCTTTTGCCGTGTTCTACCCCTCTATCAACACATTCTACCAAACCAATGCGTGCTGACCCATCTATATATAACCAAATCAGGATAGCACTCTCAGGGCTTGTTCAAAAAAACCTTAACTTTAAAGATCAACATTTCAGTTTGATATGCTCAAACAGAAATGTCGATTCTTAAAGTTAAGGTAATAAAAGTTAAGTTTTTTTGAACAAGTCCTGAGAGTGCTATCATGATATGTTCTTTTTGTATTTTGGCTTGACAAGCACCAGGCAAGCAATTGGATTGGAAGGAGTGCAAGATTATTTTTGTTTATATATATATTATATTATTTATTTATAAAATATTTTACAAGGAAAGATACATTTAGATTTCTCTCGCTTCAAGTATGTCCTGGGTCCACAAATCATTGCAATGTTACATTAGGGTACAATAAAATACAAAAACAATATTAATACACAATAAATACAAAATTTTACATAGAACAGGTAGGAAATATATAATCAACCATGACACGTGCATTCTGTTTTGAGGTATGTAAAGAGGGATCTTAAAGGACTTTAGGGAAGATTTTAAATTGTGCGGGAGGTCGTTCCACAATTGCGGTGCTCTGTAGGAGAAGGAGGATCGGGCTGCTTTCTTTTTGTATTGAGGTAGACTAAGTAAAGTGCTTGTACTGGATCGGAGGTTATAGAAAGTGGGAACAGCCGGGGAAAGCATTCTGCTCAGGTAGGGTGGGAGCTTCCCAGAAAAGCTCTTAAACACAAAGCTGGAAAGATGAAGGGTGCGTCTGGATTCCAGCGATAGCCAGTTTAGTTCTTTTAGCATGTCACAATGATGGGTCCTGTAATTACATTGTAGCACAAATCGGCAGAACGAGTTCTACAATGTATTGAGTTTATTAAGGTGAGTTTGCAGTGCAGGTGCATATACTACATCCCCATAATCAATGATTGGCATTGTATTATATATATAGTTAATCAATGCAACTCTATGTTTAACATGCAGTCTAATAAAGTCAATTTCTCTCTTTCTGTCTCCCCAGAAATATTCATGCTGGACAAGAAAAACCTTTCCCCCCAAGAGCCAAAATACAACAGCATTGAGCCAATATACATTGACATTAGCGAGGTGCGAAATGATTCAACGGTGTATCTTCCAAACATAGGAAAACTGGCTGTGGAGAAAAAGCATGGTACATTAAATGCAGTCAAGAAACCAGTAAACCAATTACCGGAAGCTTTAAAGTCAGAGACTCCATCAGCTAGCGGTTTCACAACACTTTCCAGTATCCCAGCAGATCTTCATCATCTGACTGTTAGCCAGGTTTGTGAGTGTCTGGTGTTACTCAACATGAGCCAGTATGTGAAGGCTTTTGAAGGAGCCCAGGTAGATGGCCAACTCCTGTACGATTTGGATCACGAGATGATGAAGGGCTGCTTGGGAATGAATGGACTGAACATGGCAAAGCTCGTAAAATTTCGGAATGGATGGAGGCCCAATCTGCAGAACTGATTGACCACAGTCCACTCTGCAATGAAGATACCAAAAGTCAAACTCGACACTTTGACTGCAGCGCCCCATGAAACTATGTTTGTGGATAGAGCTAACGGCATAGTCAGTAGAAGAGCCTGGTCCAAACATGGACTGATAAGGAGTACTGTTGATTCTTCCATCTGGGTCAGTCTGAAGAGACTACATGGAAATATTCTCTATTTTTCTTTCTTTATGATATTCTCATGCGTGCGCAGTCTTTTTTCCATTTTGTTTATGAGTTTTTTTTGTTTTGTTTTTTCAAAGATGAATATATTAACCAAGACACATTATTTGATCCATGTGTGCTGAACGTGTGCTGCTCGATTTTTCCCAACAATGTCCTAGTTTAGGGAACGATGTACAACTAACTCAAGTAACGAAATATATATATATATATATATATTTTTACTCTTTTCTTTCTACACTTGTGAGCTAATTCATTTTAATTCATTAGTTCATTTATTAGTTAAAAACTTGCACTTTCCTGTTGGTTTCCCTAACCTCAGCTCTCAGTGAAACATTGACTTCCAGGTTGGATGGAACTAACAGTGGAAACGGAGAAGGGTAAATTCTGTATTATCAATATGGCTGAATGGTGGTAAGCTTTGGGTGCTGGAGAGAGCGACAAAAATTGTAGGACATTGCCCATGTAAAACCCTATAGGAAAGCATAATACCATGCTTTCCTATGGGGGAAATACGAATGCGCATTAGGTCTCCCCGCCGGCTGATGTTGACGAGGGAGGAACGAAGGCGGAGCCAGCACTGAGGGACATCTGCGCTGGACTCAGGTAAATGACAGAAGCGTTCTTAAACCCCTTCTGCACCACAGGGGAAGGGTGGGGGCGCAACAGGGGTGGGGGAGGAGCACTAGAGGCACTATAGTTTCCCTTTAAGGAAGCTTATTCTCAACTACAACTGCATTCACACCACCTAGAACGTCACGACTGGCCACCTCTTTGCAAGATTAATGGAAAAGCCAATATAGAAACATATAGAAAAATAATTACGTAAGGACTATCTATAAAGAATATCTGATTGTTAAACTATTAATTATAATACTCAAGGTGCTGTCACAACTTGTGTTTTCAACAGTAGCACATTTTCTTGTCATAATAACATTTTTAAAACTACTACTACTGCTACCACTGCCAAGAGTGAACTACTCGTATTTTTTCCTTTGGGGGGGGGAGGGAGGTGGTGAGGGGGGTTGGGAATATGGTTATCTTGCAAGTTTCCATTATAAATGGTAGGCTTACACCCTACAGTATTGCCGTACTATCATTTCCCATCTCGGTCTAAAACTACAGCACAGACTGACTCATTGATAATCAATGCTGGCTGTTTGGTTAACCCTTTGAGAGCATTTGAGCATGTGTAGAATTTGAGTTGTTTGTAAAAAATGCCCACTCTGAACGCACCTCAGACATGCATCATCTGATCCTAGTGGTAGTTTCTGAAACGCCCTATTTAATCTCCAGCAGGGCATGTGAGTAGGGACTTCCTGTATATAGTAGTTCAAAAGTCTAATAAAGAGTACTTAAAGAGACGCCTAGAGGTAAAGAATGGGCAATTTTTACATAATTACATAATTTTTACATAAAGAGATACTTAATTAGCTATGTGTTTTGCCACCCTTTGAGTGCCAGACTTGCACCACAACATGACTTTGCAATATGCTGGTCCAATCTCTGATACTCAAAGGGTTAAACAAAAGAAATAATGTTTTGGGTTTTTTTTTTTTTACAGCTATTTTGATATTTCATATGAGTCTAATGAAATCAGGAGCACAGGTTTTCATAGAAAGGGGGTGGAGTCAAATTCCATTGGTGGTGCCTGGTGCCCCACCAACTTGAAGCTTCACCAGCCGCCACTGGTATTAAAATAATCATAGTTCAAATTTGATTTAATTGAAATCCACAATTTAAACAGAATAATTTTGCAGTAAAGTCATTATAGCATCTAGCTATCGAAAGATCACCTTTTCTGAGCTACCGGTGAACAATGAACAATTTAGTACGTGATTTGGGTCAATTCATTCATTTTCCTGAATACCTAATGAGTATTTCTATATATTTCTGATCTGAGAGTTATCAGATCCACGAGGGTTTTTACTTGTTTTTATGTCAGTATATTAAAATACGTTGGCTTTAATTTCAGATGACTTGTGATCTTTGAATCCCATTGCTCCAATCCCTATTTCTATATTTATTGCATTTGTTTGAAATTAATATTTTCAGAGCTCGCTGCTCATGCGCATCAGTTCCCCCCAATCGGATGATGTCAGAGGAGGTGGACTGGGAAAGTGAATAATGCTTTTTTAACACTTTACAATACTATCGATCCCGGGGGGGGGCGAGGGGGATCTCTGGGGCAGAGGAACGTTAGTGTTAGGAATACATCATTATGTGTTCCTAACACTAAAGTGTTCGTTTAAAAGGCTGTTCTTTAGCATTTTATACAAGTGTGAAGATGGTATAGATATAGACACTGTGCATTTAGAATGATTTGTCTGATTAGGAAACTGTCAATTTAAGTCACTAGCTAGTTATTCACTAAAGTGTGAATTGTCAGGAATTCAAAGTAAAATATAGTAAATCATAAGAAATTTTAAAAAACATAGCTGTCTTTGAGATTTTTTTTTCCAATCAATCTATTATCGATTGAAATTAACTTTTAATTCATCTTCCTTTCTCGATAATTTCACAACTCTGTAAAAGTTCAACTTATTTTACTCGCTCCTGATTTCATTAGACTCATATGAAATATCAAAATAGCTGTAAAAAAACCAAAACAAACCAAAACATAGGTTTCACTCGCACTCCCTCTGCCATTTATCCTGCACTCCCACTCCCTCTGCCATTTATCTTGCACTCCAACTCCCTCTGCCATTTATCCTGCACTCCCACTCCCTCTGCCATTTATCCTGCACTCCCACTCCCTGTACCATTTATCCTGCACTCCCACTCCCTCTGCCATTTATCTTGCACTCCAACTCCCTCTGCCATTTATCCTGCACTCCCACTCCCTCTACCATTTATCCTGCACTCCTACTCCCTGTACCATTTATCCTGCACTCCCACTCCCTCTGCCATTTATCTTGCACTCCCACTCCCTCTGCCATTTATCTTGCACTCCCACTCCCTCTATCATTTATCCTGCACTCCCACTCCCTCTGCCATTTATCCTGCACTCCCTCTACCATTTATCCTGCACTCCTACTCCCTGTACCATTTATCCTGCACTCCCACTCCCTCTGCCATTTATCCTGCACTCCCACTCCCTCTGCCATTTATCCTGCACTCACACTCCCTCTGCCATTTATCCTGCACTCCCTCTACCATTTATCCTGCACTCCTACTTCCTGTACCATTTATCTTGCACTCCCACTCCCTCTGCCATTTATCCTGCACTCCCACTCCCTCTGCCATTTATCCTGCACTCCCTCTACCATTTATCCTGCACTCCCACTCCTCTGCCATTTATCTTGCACTCTTCCACTCCCTCTGCCATTTATCCTGCACCTCCCACTCCCCTGCCATTTATCCTGCACTCCCACCTCTACCATTTATCCTGCACTCCCCACCCCTCTCCTGCCATTTATCCTGCACTCCCACTCCCTCTACCATTTATCCTGCACTCCTACTCCCTCTACCATTTATCCTGCACTCCCACTCCCTCTGCCATTTATCTTGCACTCCCACTCCCTCTGCCATTTATCTTGCACTCCCACTCCCTCTATCATTTATCCTGCACTCCCACTCCCTCTGCCATTTATCCTGCACTCCCTCTACCATTTATCCTGCACTCCTACTCCCTGTACCATTTATCCTGCACTCCCACTCCCTCTGCCATTTATCCTGCACTCCCACTCCCTCTGCCATTTATCCTGCACTCCCACTCCCTCTACCATTTATCCTGCACTCCCACTCCCTCTGCCATTTATCCTGCACAGTCACACACAGTCAAGGCAGACAGTCACACAAACACACATGGTCACAGACAGACAGTTTCACACACAGTTACAGGCAGTCACACACACAGTTGCTGTCACAACAGTGACCCCTTCACACAGAGTGAAACCCAGATGAAGACGTTTACCGGAACCTTAGAGTGGCCGGACTTGCGTCTGAGAGTAGTCAAAGGAATAGCCAGAGGTCAAGGGAGTACAGAAGACGGGCACACGATAATCCAAGCCAAAATAATGGGAAATCAGAGAACAGAATAGTCAGAAGGGAAGCTAAGAGTCAGATACCAAAAAGTCAATCAGAATATAAAGAGCGCTAGAGGACTCAAACAAGAACCACACTAGGGCGCCTAACAAATGCCATGGTTGCCTTTATATAGTGTGGGATCTTTTGCTTTAAAACCACGCCCCCAAAAGGTCTGGGAGTGTGGCCACGTCATAAAAGTGGGCGTGTTGCGAGCGGCCGGCGTCAGAAAGACTGAGCCGCCTCCTGGAAGTGTTGGAAGAGGACGCCGTGCTGCGCGGGTCCGGTGGGGAAAGGTAAGTTATCGTTACAGTTGCAGACAGGCAGACAGACAGTTACATACACAGTCACACACACACAGTTACAGGCAGACAGTCACACACACTGTCACAGACAGACTTCCATATGGACACATTTACAGGCCGACACACACCAGTTACATACACAACCGCAGACAGTCACACACAGTTACAGATAGTCACACACACACACACACACACTTACAGTTACAGATAGACAGGCAGTCACATACTTTTGCAGACAGACACACACACAGTTACAGATGGATAGTCACACACACAGATTTACAGGCTGACAGAGGCACACACACACACACACATTTGCACAGACAGGTACTTTTCTCCATTATCCTCTGGAAGAGGGAGGAGTGGAGACTGCAGTCCCTTTCTAGCAGTTGAGGAAGCAGGAACTCCTACCTGTTTCCCCCTCAGTGTGCAGTGTTACCGTGCAGCTGGTAGAGGCCACACTTAACTTCGCCCTTGCTGGCCATTTAGCGCCGCCTCCGCTGCCGATTTAGTTCCGCCTCCATATTTCTGGCTCTGCCTCATCACAACAGCTCGCATATCTCTAAGGCTGGCCCTGTCTGTAATACCCACTCACACAGCACATTACTGTGGTTTGATATATCCTAACTGTGAGTTATTATTATTATTACTGGCTTTTATAACGCACCAACCTTTTCCTCAGCGCTGTACAATTGGGTAAAAAGACAGTATAGTATAAACAAACCAACACAAAAGGTAAAGAGGGCATTGTCCATGAGCTGAGATCTAGCTATTGAAGCTCTTTTATATAAAGTACTTTGCTAGATAGCCCATGAGCTTACAATCTAAAGCTAAAATGGGGAAATAAGACAAGAGGTAGCAGGGGGAATTTGGAGGTGATTGCAGGGAGAATTAAAATTTGAATTGTTCTTTTTATTTTAGTTATTGTGAAACTATATGATATATTCATACTCCCCAGGGTTTACTGCTGGGGAGCTCACATACAGTGCACATTACTGTCAATTCTATTTTTTTAATTTAATTTTTTTTGCCACGGAGCGATGTGATAAATAAAGCCACACTGAGGTTTATTCCTGAGAATGTTTGTGGTAATTCGTATACAGTACATATTACTCACTGTGATGTACTCATGCACACCACACATTATTATAAATAACAGGGGTATAAAGTGTTTATAGTGATGTTGTGGCATAAAAATATAAATGCACCAGGCTTCATTTTATCAACATTAGCATGCTTTCCTTAACCAGCCCAGGAAATATTTATTTAAGCCTTTCATTGGTCCAAAGAGCTGATTTGAGGTAATTTTTTTTTTTTTAACTGTGCGTTGTGTTTTACTATGACATGTCTGAAAAGTTTCATTCAAAAAAATTGCAATACATATTTTGTTGCAAATATATACTTTAATATTCAAGTATAAATAGCTCTACATTTTAAAAAGGTGGTCATTAATGCACTTGCTAAAATTAGCAATATCCTTCAGCATTCAGAATGTTCTATATTCTATGAAGGGTGTGCGTGCGTGCATGCGTGCGTGCGTGCGTGCGTTTATATATATAAATATGTACATTTGTGACCCAAAGTCAATAATTTGTTTAGAATTTATAATGTAAATGAATAAACTAGAGCAGAGGGTATTTTTATTTTTTACTGTCACAATTCTTTGGTTGATTTTATCATCTTCATTATCATAGTATTTGAAGATATTCATATTGAATCAGGAGGGGCACTGGCCTCTGCGGTGCGAGATGTCATTGTTCACTGTTCGCTATCCCAGGACAAAAGAATCCCAATGGCAGCACTGAAGGGCAAGACACTATTCCCTTTCGAACATTACACCCTCACATTCTACCAGAACTTCACTTGGTCCATTCTGCTATTGGCGACGGACTCTGTTATTAGCCAACAGAGAGCAGCTGGAATAGAATACCGGTGGATGTCACCAAGGATCCTCGTGGTCACGCATGGCGAAACAGTACACAAGGCATCCACACTAGCCAAATCACAGGCCCTTGTTTAAGCCTTAGGCCTACCGGTGCCTCCATCTGACCCTGGTGGACAGCAGAGCACTCATCCCTGGGATCCATCTCGTATTGTCCCCTTTGTCCCTGCTAATAAATTGACCCTAACACCTGGGACTTGAACTTGCTAGGGAAGACAGTACTTAAACACAGTTCGGGTTCTTATACTTAGCTAGCCATTTCAGCTCATTGTTATGTCCACTGTTATGTTCTCCATGTTACAAGCTACCTATAACAGCAGTAACCTCATAAGAGGTTTTACGATACCTGACTCCTTACCCTACGGAGCACTGATGATAAGGGCCTAGCTTGTCTTAGCGGGTGTTTAGCTCCACACCTTCACCCTCTCTGCACCCCCCACCCCTACCATCCCCCTCCCGTAGCCCCCTTTGGTTAGGGGTATTGAAGCATACGGCCTGATCCCCCACTTATAGGAAATATGGTTCTTTACGCTCGATACACACCTATCTTACCTCACTATGGCCTAGTTAACCTCTCAGACTGCTCTTCAGACACAGTTGAACCTTCCTGCTTAAAAATATTAATGCTTCACTCTTGTGAACACTTAATTTTACCAAATGCTTCACATTATTGTATTATGTATTAATATGTCTGCTTCATGTTTACTACTTAAACAAGCATTGATATGAAAAATGATAATAAAAAAAAGAATAAAAAAAATAAACAAATTTTTGATGGTTTTTAAAATACTGTATGTTGGCGTATAGAATATTACTGATGCCAAAAGAACTTTAAGAAACTAAAAGCACCATTGTGCCCGAAGTGACAATTCCTTAATTAAGCAAGAAACCTTTCTCGAAAAGGGTAATATGCCTTTAACCCACTAACTATGTCACTGTCACTGGGTCACTTTGGTCTGTAGTGGGACAGATGATGATCAATGTGTTTCAGCTTCAAAGCTTCCGGATCAAAGATTCATGATTTGCAGACGATGGCTGAAGATCTGATCCCGTCTGTTCATGTATTCTCTCTGAACTCCGGGACGTGTTGTCTGACCTGACAGAGTCTGCAGACGGAGAGCAAATTAATTCTCAGCCAGAGACAATGTCAACTAACATGTTCAATCCCTGTGGACAACAAGAGACACAGACATACAAACAACCCTCTCACGTAAATAAATCTGTAATGGTATTTTTTTTGTAAAACGTAGTGTGATTCTTAGAACACGCTCCTTGACACACAATGATACCCAACTATACAGACATTTTATTCTATATACCTGATTCCACTTAGAGTGACATAGAGGTTTATTGGCAAGGCTGGAAATAGTCTAGAATTGACAAGACTTAGAACACACAGAAACAACAATTAGCACATAGAAAACAACATGAATATTGCGTTGCTAAGCCTTATCCGGCTGAAATTTCCACAATGACGGGAATATTTCAGAACTGGAGAATGTTTGCAGTTCAACAATTTTGGCCTAAACTTTGCTATTTCCTTGTCAATTCATAATAATTCATGGTTTGCATGACTATTCATTAAATAGAGAAGCGTTGACTATAGTTGAATTGGATTTTTTTTTTTCCCAGATCATTTATTTTTGAATTGCTTCAGTCATTCAGATTTTAATTTGCTACAATCCAGAGTTTAACGAGTAACCAAGTCAGTGAATGTATTCCACACACTCTGTAGGTGCAGCTGGATCTCAAAGTACATTACCAAATGGACATTGAGTAATTGGTAATTTTTTTTGACACACATTGCAATTTAAGAATACCTGTACTGAGAACTTTAAGGGTCACTGCCAAAGAACACCCCAATATGTGTTCAGCAACATCTCCTGAGTACAGCGATACCACCCATGTATAGGTGTATCAGGATAACTGGGGAAGAAAAGACCTTATTTGGAGGGTGTGCATTCCAGCTTTTCCAATTCGGAATTTTCACAGTTGGTCATTATGCACCCATGTCCTATTTAGGACAGTTTTGAAGCTGGCCAATGTAATTGACTCCCATCAAACCATATATTTTTGAAAAGTAGACACCTTAGGGTATTTCAAATGGTGGTATTTTAACACTTTCCATGCACTTATTCTACCACTAGTCTTTATCAAACTTTTGGGTTTTAATTTTTTTGTGTTCTTTTTCACACACATTGTACTTTAGGCATGGGTATCAGCTCCTGTTATGTTTTACTGTCAAAGCACATCCCAATATGTGTTCAGGAACATCTCCTGAGTACAGTGATACCAACCATGTACAGGTGTGTCAGGTTCTCTGGGGGCTAAAAGACCTTATTTGGAGGGTGCGCATTCTAGTTATCCAACTTGGAATATTCACATCTGGTCATCATGCACCCATGTCCTATTTGGGACATTTTTGAAGCCAGCCATTGTAATTGACCCCCATCAAACCATATATTTTTGTAAAGTAGACACCCTAGGGTATTTCAAATGGTAGTATTTTAACACTTTCCATGCACTAATTCTACCACCAGTCTTTGTCAAACATTTGGGTAGTCATTTTTTTTTGTGTTATTTTTCTCTCACATTGTACTTAAGGCATGCATTCTTAGTTCCGGTTATGTGTTACTGCCAAATAACACCCCAATATATGTTCAGCAACATCTCATGAGTACAGTGAAACCACCTATGCATAGGTTTGTTGGGTTGTTTGGGTGGTGCAATGCCAAACTTCTGACATGTATTTTTTAAATTTGACATATCTTCTTTGCCTATCTTCTTTTTGGGGGCCTTTTTACATATTCCAATTTATTTTCTTGTCATGAACGTGCATATATTTGAAAAGTTGAGGTATTGTATATGGAGTGTTTTGATGCCTTTAATGCAACTGTTTTAGCCCCCCAAAAATTGGAGAATATGTGTGGTGGTCATTTTTCAATTTTCATTTTTACACACACATTTGTGATTAAGGGGAGCCTGTTGTTGGTTATTGCAAGAAAAAACTCCAGGTTGTTTTCTGCAAGGCCTCCCGAGTACACTCATGCCCCCATGCATAGGTTGAACTTGATCATAAAAATAGTCTAGCGCAGTAAAAGTAAAAAAAACTAACTCAGGAACAGTAAACGTAACCAAAAAAAACAAAAAAACTGAACGGCAAATGTAAAAAAAATTGTTTAAAATGGACCAGTGTGTGATATCGCTTGACACAGTCACCAATGCAGAGTCCAGGCTGTCCAGGGCAATCTGGACAGTAAAAGACATTGTCCTTTCTCTGCTCCCTCTTGAAACAGACTCTACATCTTTTTTGAGGCTTTTGCTTTGCTGCAGTAGGGGGGATTCTAAAAATAAAGTGGGTAGCCTCAACTCTGCTCTCTCCCATCACCACCCCGGGGGCTCCACGAAATGACCTGGAGCTGAAACTGTAAAAAAGTCAGTTTCATTCCGGGGTTTGCTTTTTTGAACAACAAAAAAGCGTTGTGGGTTGCAATCTGCGTTAAGTACATTGCAACCTTTTTGTACCAGGCCCTTGTCTTTCGTATAATTAGATAGGGCTGCAGCAGCTTGCTGGTTATAGGCCTTGATGCACACTGGCTTCCTTGTGCTCTTAGCTCTGCCATGTACAGAGACCTCCACAGTCCTCTCAGTGTGGATGGTGCTAAGAAGGTACACATCCTTCTTGTCACTGTACTTAACTGCCAACAGCTCCTCTTGGTGCAGAGCTGAGGTCTCCCCCCTTCGTAGCCGGGTGAGTGCAAGTTGTCCTGGGAAACCTGTGCGGTTCTTTCTTAGTGTACCGCAAGCTACTGTATCAAAACAATACAGTAGCTTGAACAAAGGAACACTTGTATAAAAATTGTCTAAATACAAGTGGTACCCTCAGTTTATCAGGGAGAATATCAGGTCCCAGACAATCTTGCCACTGGTTCCCATATGTTCTGGGCAACCTGGAGGGTCAAGGTGGCTATCCTTTCCCTCGTACACCCGGAAGGCCCGAGTATACCCAGTCTCGCTCTCACAGAGCTTAGACACCTTTACACCATACCTGGAGCGCTTGGAAGGAATATACTACTTAAATCCCAGCCTTCCTTTATACTTCATCAAGGATTCATCCACGCATATATTCCTTCACGGTGTATAAGCCTCTGCAAACCTGGCAGCAAAGTGGATAATCAGGGGGCGGATTTTATACAGCCTGTCAAACTGGGGGTGCTCCCTAGGGGGGCACAGGCTTTTGTCGCTGAAGTGCATGAAATGGAGAATTATTTCATACCTCTTCCTCGACATACAGTGGGAGTAAATGGGGGTAGAGCAGATGGGGCTACTGCTCCAGTAGGAGTGGATGGATGGCTTCTTTATGATGCCCAAAAGCATAGTTAATGCCCAGAATTTTTTACATTTTGGCACATCGGTGGGAGTCCAATGCTGCTTTGTCAAAAAAGACTCAGGCTTTCAAGCATGGAACTGATGGGCATATAAATTAGTTTGGGCGACAATGTTCACCAATACATCATCGCACAGAAACACCTCCATAAACTGTTGGGGGCTAAATCCTGCAACATCCGGCAGTCAGAAGACTTAGTGGCCCGGCAGTCAGGAGAGGTATTGCAGGATGCCTTGACGTCGAGGCATCGCTGCAATACCCTTAGAGCAGCTGGAAGCGATCACGATCGCTTCCAGCGCTTATATTTGCTGTGGACGTACTAGGTACGTCCGCAGTCCTTAAGGACCATTTTTTGTCAGATTTACCTAGTACGTCCGCGGTCCTTAAGGGGTTAAAATAGAACTCCTAGCAATGTAACCACTACAGTGCACCCCTCTCCATTGCCTCTACTAAGTAGGCCAGAATTGTTGAACTGCAAACATTCTCTATGTCTGCATTCTTTTTCAATATGTTTTAGAATGGAGCAAAGGGCTTTTGAAGCCATAAAGCACTTCAGCTTGCAGATTTCTGTGAGAAAACTTTACTTTTATATTGAAATAATGAAACAAAACCCTGGCTGTCAAGCAAACAGACAGCAAGATTTCTTCCTGCTTCCATTAGCTCCACCTGCCTCCTCACAAATAGCTGCTATCAGAATCAGAACTCAGATATGAGCAGCGTGCATTCTAAACGCTGGGCAATGTAAGCGCACGCATGAGTAGGGCTGTGTGCACGCGAGCAGACACGTGCGCACATACAGGTGGGCGTGCACAGGACATAGCATCAGAGGCTTCTCAATGAAGAGACTCTTCTGGGAAAAAAGGGGAGGGCTTGCTAAGGCTGCAGTTAATAAGAACGGCAACTTTTGCGAGCGCTTTTAAGATTTCCCCCTTATTGAATACATGAAAAATGGATGCCTGCTAAATAGTGATTTTCATTTTTTTTCTTTTTTAAGGATTTTACCGTGGAGTGGTTATTTAACAAGTAAATAAGTCAAATAGGATGTTTAAGAGGAACTGTCTCTTCTCTGATAGCGACAGTTCCACCTTTCCAATTTTCACAGATTTGCAGAGTGCAGGGCTGTTAAGTATAAAAACACTTTGTGTTCCAGGCACGACAAGACATTTGCTTACCAATTCTCGTATAAGCACATGCACTTCTTTCCAATCATGCCATACATGCACATGTGTCTTCACAGTACCTGCATCCAACACACCACGGGGTTCTGGTTTGTTTAGACAAAAAACTCTGGCCTGGTATAAGATGC